GGTTTTGATATTGTTGAGAACGATGAAAGCTTGTATTGATTTACTCGTGCTCGATACAGAAAGATGTGAGAAAAGAAAGACAGAAGAGAGTTCGTTGACCACAATTGCAACCCTTGCAAGCATCACCCATGCTCACTCGTCATAACCCGGCCTTCCTGCCCTGCTAGTCAACCCATTCTTCGTCCCCTACTCAACCCGTTCGCACCTGATACTAATAGGGAGCATAGGACGCTCGATTTCAACAGATATCACCTACAGTATCCTCAAGTTGAGGGATAGCCTGGGACATTATAGGCATAACGAATGCCTCAAACGGCACGAACTGGCTCTCGTTAGGGGAAGGGGCAAAACGAGCCTGAACTCTGAAAGTAAAGAACTAGACGAAGGAGATAGTCCGGCTACTTAGCTCAGCAGCCTGGACCGCTTTGTATTAGAAAGCGGTTCTCAGAGCGTTTGAACTAGCTGAGGCCTAGTATTTTCATACAATGATACGTGATGGTTCGAGCTAGAGCTCGGAGTATGTAAATACAATGTGCAAGAGTGAGCTGGGAGACAATACACAGCACTTGGTTACCTTATATCACGACACCGAGTACAGCGCTTGTTCCGGTCATCCCTCAGCTAGTATCCCTTTGACTGTAATGAATACTGCCAAATTGCGAAGGATAGAATGGAGGGGCAAGTGATGGTCGAACTTGTGAAGAAAGATATGATTCATTTTGAGAATTGTACAGCGGCAGGTAATAAGTGATGGAACGCCCTGAGATACAGTTATACCTGCAAACACCGTATGTTGGTGGCTTTTTACCCAAAACAGGTATCACTGTGTCTCAGGGTATTCCATCACTTATTACCTACCACTGTACATCCAACACCAGATCTATCAACTCAGAGAGGTGAGCAGGTAGTGAAAGATTCTCCTGCTCTACTCCATAATCCACTACCACAAAGCTCAGTGTTACACTCCCGAGTATTCAGCTCCAAGTCCTCCGGCATTCAGTACCCCACTTCGTGGTACCCAATTGTACTACATTTGTAGTAATAACGCTTGAAAGAAGGTCCTGAACTGTAAGCATACGATCGATAGTGATATGGTAGAGGAAACTTCACATTGCCAGAGGTTGCCTATAGATGACACACCTGTTATCTATGATAGAAAAGTGAAGATAAATGTGTAGGTGAGGTACAACCAAAGAGTGCAATGCGTACCTATGCCCGGTCCAAAAGCTGTGGCGGTTGGCAGAAGAGAAAAGGAGTGAGGCCGGAGCCCAGGCGCATGTTATGGGACGATAGCAAAGGAGTTAGTAGTTTGGTTTTGATATTCGGCCTTATTGGTACGATTAACTGGGGCTCAAACCCATGTATCAAGGTCCACTGGAGGGTGTCCCGGGCGGGTTCCGTTCGGTTAGCTGTCCCGTTATCGGCGGGCATTAGGTGTTTGCGGACACCAGCCAGATCTTATCTAGGCAGGATCATACCATGTGGAGTAAACCATACAGAGGATCGATTATCCAATGATCAATTCATCACATACTTACAAGTAAATACCTGTACTCATATGCGCCCTCTTCACTGTACTTGGCTAGGAATGCCATTTGGTTTCTGAGGTACTCCGGCCCACGTAAGGTTTTGTTCCAGAGGGCCGAGTACAATCTCGATCTCGTTGAGTCCTATCTCTATCCGGTTGCGATACTTACACGTACTCTACTGACCTTCATCCTTCGTCTTTTGTAGCCTTTACCTGGCGGAAATGGCTCAGCTCTTCCAGCTACCACTATATCTTCTTTCAGATCATAACCGGTTCAATTGCACTAGCCAATTATGGTTGGGGGTAGGAACTGCCTGATGTGAATATCTACATCATTTTTGCAGGGTGTAGGATCCGGTCGGAATCTTGGATTCCTGGCAAGATCTGGTTATTGATCGGGAATTATAAATTGCTGCTATTTGGGGTACATATGTGCCTGTGGAGAGTTCTCCACAGATTCACTACCGATCTGTTTTGAAATGGCGTTATTTATCGGACATACACATGCCTCCACATATGCAAGCAGGAGTAGGTAGGTGATCTACTCCACTCTACCGGAATATGTGTGGTGCGGTTAATATACGTGCTGATGCTTAATTATTATTCTCCGGGACCGAAGCTCTTAATTTATAAATTCGCCTACCTGGACGTTGTGCCGTTGTAAATTGATCTCGAATCGTCCATTACACGACAGGCTAGTCCCTGTATGTGCATAAACCCTAGCCCTACTATACAGGCCTTGGCGTGCTAACCTCGTGGACAGTTGGCATGCTGGCACGGAGATCAGCCCTTCGGCACCAAATTGACTGGAGAAGTCCAGCAATTGGCGGAGATGAGACGTGGGGATCATCGTCGTAACCATCATCGAGGAGAGAGGGGGAGGGGTTGTCATTACTTTTGATTATTGGATAATGCCTTTTGTCTCTCTCTCCGACACCGACACTGAATGTCTACCGTTAAAGGAGTAGGTATTCTCTAGGTACTCTTGACCGTACCGTACTCTTGGAGTACTCAATGCTCCATGTCTACAATGACACCCATCTCTCTAATGTTCTAGAATCCTCTCGCTTAGCAGTGGGGATTTATTCTTAGCCGCGCAATGCCGCTGCGAACACCAACTTGGGAGACTTGAAGCAAGGGAAAATTCCATCAAGGGTCCAATGACAACAGGGCGGATGCCACCGCATTCTGCACATCAACAGCAGAGAGTAGAAAATCGACGATCCTCCAATGAGTTAATGACAACAGATGTATGCTTACACACGGTGCTTTTTTTCACCTCATCGTTTCGAATGCGGGGCGTCTGTGCTTGAGCGCGTGCTCTCTATGAGCTAAGATCACCGGGGTGTTAAATACATGTCGTAGGTTCCCCGAGCTAGACCCTTCCCTCCTCCTCCTTTCCCCTTCTTTGTACTCCAGGACGCACTTCTGCTACCATTCCGCTCCCATACAGCTCTCAACACAAACAATACGCCATCCCAACACCAATACTCCAAAAAAAAAAAAAAAAAACCCCCAAACACGCAAACATGGGAAAAGAGCTTTTCGATGTTATGGTCGTCCCTGGCTGCGGCAAAGGCCTAGTAGCACGAACCTACATCCCTCGTGGCACCCGCATCATCTCAGAGGCCCCCCTGTTCAGCATTTCAAACTTCGCCCAGACTTCCCTAACCGACATCGTCGCCTACGTGACCTCAATCCTCAAAAAGCTCCCCAAGGACCAGCAACGCGGGTTCCTCGGCCTCCACAACGCCTTCATCAGACAAGCATCCCCCTTCTACGGCATCGTCAGAACAAACTCCCTCCCCTTCGGCCCGGAATCCCCTGAGCTCGGCCTCTTCCTCACATGTGCGCGTCTCAACCACAGCTGCTCCCCCAACGCGAACCACTCGTGGAACAGCGACACGAGGACCGAGTCCGTCCATGCTATCAGAGATATCGACCCAGGCGAGGAAATAACCATATGCTACCAGTCCTCGCAATCCTCACACTCAAACAGAGCCAGCCGCCAGGATGAGCTCCTAAAGATGTTTGGCTTTGAGTGCCACTGCATGATCTGCGTGCTCCCCGCAGAAGACTCCCGCGAGAGCGACCAACGCAGGGCCGAGATCGAGGAGCTCGACCGCATCATCGGCTCCGGCGAGCTGCTGGTACGCAACGCGCCCAGGGCTCTTGGCGCGTGCAGGACCATCATCGAGCACCTGGAGGACGAGGGAATACAGGACATGCGGGTAGCAAGAGCATACTACGACGCCTTCCAGATCTGTGTTTCGAACGGCGACATGGCGCGGGCGAGCGTGTTTGCCAGGAAGCATATTGAGGAGGTGATATGCTGCGAGGGCGAGGACGCGCCGGGCCTGAAGGAGAGACAGGCGTTTGTGGACAAACCAGAGACGCACAGATTGGCTGGTGTGTCGAATATGTGGGAGTCGAAGCTGTCGGACAGGGCTAGGTCTGACCATGATGATTTTGAGGGGTGGCTGTGGAAGAGAGCTGTGTATGTTTGAGGTATGTAGCTATCTCCCCATCTTCTGCTTGAACTGCTTGAACCGTCTTGGCTAATTTTCATAACGAGGTAGAGGTAGCATCACACACACACGCGGCGTTTTTTTCTTCAAAAAGCCAATTGTATTATCAGGAAATCGAAGTGCTCGAGTATACTAACTAGGTCAGGTCATCCATCCCTGGAGGATCAATGGTCACATATATCTGTATTCACCTTTAGCAGGCCCATTATCTTTTTTTTTTCGTTTGTTTGTGTGTGTATATAGTGGTGGCAAAGTACAGTACGTCTCCGCTCAAATTTTTTAATAAATGAGTGGTAAACAAACCATGATAAAAAATACTTCTTCAATTCAAACCACAAGTATTCGTGCGATATATATATCCATAAGTCGAGTACATGTATCTTTTCATCGTTACAAAACCATACCAGCTTTCCCGAACGTTACCTGAGAATTATACCCATGCATACTTTACACAAATAATTACCTACATGTAGTTATACTAATACGTAGGTAAATAGTTATCGCCACTTTCTCTCCCGTTCGTCAATTTCAATTTAACTCTATAAACAGGTTCGTCATTATGCCAAGCCACACTAATACCTCTCTAAAAAATCATAGTCTTAGGCCATGCGTAATATTATTATGTCTACTTTTAGTACTCGGCACCATCCCCCGGTTTCCACGCAGTCATAACTAAATAAAATGTTGAAACCTCTACGAAAAGACTCTAAATTAGTAGTGTCGGGGTAATCGGTATCTGACTGCTGGATTAACAAAACAAGGGTGAAGAAACTTGATAACAGAAGGAAATTTTATTTCTAACTTATTTACACAGTTTCTCGATAACAGCTTAATTCATCATAAGCACACTTCGGTGCATATCCAAGTTGTTTTTTAAACCAACGACTTTTAATAATTCATCCTCCGCTCCTATAGTACCGAATACCATCCTATTTGATCGCTCACTAGTTCAGCAGTAAGTTTACGGGGTTGCAGTTGTCTGGGTAAATTTCTGTATCATAGAGGTTTGTGACTATTTATACAATTCATATGTCAGCGTTATACCAATGCCCTCAGCGGACCAGAGGACTAAAGCACAACTTACAGTCAGAGCTTCCGCAAGCATAGAAGACATTGGTTCCCCCTAAACCAAGAGTATTGTCATCACAAATGTTGAACCCACCGGTAATAACGGCTCCTGTCTGGGGTGGGCTATCGAATTGAAGCTGGCGGTTATCGGCGATATAACCAGTGCGTCCACTGGCATCAGTAAGGACACCGTTATTGAGGGTGACTCCCAAGAGATCTCCATTCTGGCGAGCTTGGATCTGTCCGTCGGCAATCTGGGTTACTGGGGTGGTACCAGCAGCACCGGTACCAGAGCCAGCACCACTAGCGGCACTAGCACCAGCACCAGCACCAGCACCAACACCAACACCAGCACCAGCACCAGCACCAGCACCAGCACCAGCACCAGCACCAGCACCAGCACCAGCACCAACACCAGCACCAGCACCAACACCAGCACCAGCACCAGCACCAGCACTAGTACCAGAGTTAGAGTCAGAGTCAGCACCAGAGCCAGCGGCACCAGCGGCACCAGAGCCAGCAGCACCGGCGCCAAATGAACCTGGTGTCTGTGGGACCTGCCCATTAGCAGTCAAATCAGCAGCTTCTTGGCCTACCTGGCCTGGAGGAACACCTGCAGCTCCAGCCTCAGCAGCAGAACCTGCCGCGTTTGCAGCCTCTCCAGGAGTTGCGGAAGCACCTTCGGGGGTAGGTGATGGGACGGTGCCAGAGTCCCCAGCGCCAGGGGATCCAGCAGATCCAGGGGCTGCTCCAGGGGCTACTCCAGCAGCGGAAGAGCCTGCGGCCCCAGTAGATGCCTCAGGTCCAGCGCCTGGAGCCTGAATTTGGCCATCCTGGATCTGGGTTACCTGGTCTGTGGGGGGGCCGATGGGAGGAGGTCCTGCTTCGGATACTTGGATTTGTCCATCAGCAAATTGAGTAGCAACTCCAGAGGAACTAACGCCATTACCAGATCCAGCCCCGACTCCGGCTCCGGCTCCAGGGCCAGCTCCAGCTCCAGTTCCAGCCCCATATTGTTCAGGAGTTTGTGGGACAACGCCATTTGCAACGTTGGCAGCAGCATTTTCTGCAACCACAGAGGGAGGGACGCCTGCAGCGCCGGCCGCGGCAGCGGCAGAACCAGCATTTGCAGCTTCTTCTGGAGTCGCAGATACTTCGTCTCCAGGAGACCCGGCAGAGCCAGCAGCACCGGCAGCGGGGCCAGCACCAGGGCCAGCTTCACCAGCAGCACCAGTAGCGGAACCAGCACCAGAGCCAGCTCCAAATTGCTCAGGAGTTTGTGGGACAACGCCATTTGCAACGTTAGCAGCAGTGTTTTCTGCAACTACGGAGGGAGGAACGCCCGCAGCGCCAGCAGCGGCAGCGCCAGCGCCAGCATTTGCAGCTTGTTCTGGAGTTGCAGATAATTCATCTCCAGGAGCACCAGCAGCGGGGCCAGCACCAGGGCCAGCACCAGCAGCCGTACCAGCAGCGGAACCGGCAGCAGATGATCCAGCTGCTCCGGTACCACCAGGAGCCTGGACCTGGCCTTCTCGATGTCAGTGGATTTTACTAAGCTTCGTGGAATTGGACTTACCATCTGCAATTTGAGTGACAGCCTGTCTTCTTCTGATAGCAGCAGCTAGTAATAAACAAATATTAGCACATAATCTTCATGCTCTCTCTGAATAAACCATGCCCGTACTGGGGTGGAGGGGATTGGGGGGGGGGGGGGGAGGCATACTATCTGCGGGAGCAATGCTGAGCCCATATGTGTTAGGAGAAGACAACACACAGTTGCCGGGAACAGCAGTGGAGGGAGTGAGTAAATCAGTCACTCCCTGGGGAGAAGCGATGGCACGACCATTGACAGCACTAATACCAGCGGCGGTGAGGAGGACGGGAAGAATTTTGGCAATCATCTTGACTTTCTTTTTTTCTTTCCAAGGCTACTGGAAGATATAAAAACGAGTGATGGAGAAGGGGAGTTTCGAGATGAAGAGTGAGGTGAAAGGAATCTCGGTAGAGGATTTAAGGTTCTTTATACGCTGGAATATATGGATTATGTATGCTGGTCTTTTTGAATCGACTAAGAGCCAGATAATATCCCGCCACCAAAGGATTTCAAAAAGTGAACGTGTTTGAAGCAAAGGAGAAGTAGAATTTTCATAAGCAGGGAGGTGGCCACCTCCATTCTCTCCAATGAATATGCTCTTCTTTCCGTATAACCGTGGAAACATTATACCGACCAGATATCTAGAAGCATCGACTTGAGATCTGGCGTACGTCTCGAACAAAAACGCCTGATGCACACTCACAAAAAAGATCCCTTAAAATCGTGTATTGGTGTCCCAACTATTCTACTCTCAGAATCTATATCCCCTGTGTATTTTCACGACCAGGAGACCAGATTGCGTTTTACTCAGTAGTAAACCTAACCCTCACTCCGTGAACCTCTTTTTGCTGTGAAGTCACCTTCTATGACCCGTCCTCTTCCTATTCTGGTGTCTCCACATTCCGTAGGCCTACATATAGGTATGTAGCTAAATTCCTGAATATTACCGCGCCGTCATGAGTGTTGTGATCCACGAGGCTACTCGAGGCGAGCAGAGACAAGTGCCTCCCGTACATATGGTTCATGGCTAGCTTTTCTTATTCGTGCAGAGATAATACCTCGAGGGTCTCGAACTGCCTCGAGGTCTTTACGGCAGATATTACTATATGTAAACATATTAGATTATTATACTTTGCTGTTGAATATTGACGAACTGCACTGGAGAACCAGGGAATACTTCGAATTTTCCTATCCATATCGATTCGGAAACCTCAATCCCACTGGCCAATACATGCCACTAATACTACGATTACCTAAAATCTGAACAGCTCGAGGCGAGTAAAAGGGGTTGCCTTGAGCATGCTCGCTTCGTCGACTCCCGTGCCTTGAACTCTCTCTAGTCCTCCGGCGCCAATGCCTCGTGGGCGACATTAGTCGTGAGCCTAATATTCGGTTTTTACGGGAACGAATGATCGCAAAGGGATATAGTTTCTCAAAGGGCTTCGTGAATCCAGTCGGCAATAACGATCAACTCGGAGAATACACAAGCCTCGAGATATTAACTCTTTTTGGCGGCGTATTGAAAAAGCTTTTATCAAATATCCACGGAGAAGTTAGCGTTTTATTCAAACTCGAGCGGAAGTTTCAAATCTCAATGGTTTTTCAAACCCTCCATTTATCCTCTTGAATCAATAGATCCCTGATCCCTATCCCGATATCCGCAGGCTTTTCAGGTCCATATGCATGGAACTACTGAGTGTGTACCGCTCGCCAAGATGTTTTATATCCACTCAGAAGATTTCCCGGGCTCCCTAGACCTTTCGGTAAAATTTTAGAAAAATTTCGAGGTCGGTGGAAGGTATCGGATCGGATCGATGCGTTTAACCAAGTAACTGAACATAGATACATGTATATACGTACAAGGATAAAATGACTCCGGATGATAGATACCTATACGGGCCCCGGGTAAGCATCCAGCGTCTAAATGTTTAGACAACTTTGATAGGCGAAAGCAAATATAGATGACAAATATTCTATAATTAATAGTGCTTTATGACTTCACCAAGGGAAGAGTGTTCCTGGGTCGACACCTAGCTCTCACGTGATTGATTATAATTAGAAAATGGATAATTTCTTACTAAGCACAAACCGTTTCACGATAGACATCCTACTTCACAATGATGTGAATCTCAAGCCGTAGAAACTGTATTGACGTTTGAAAAGTGTCGAAAATATTGAGTAACTTTAGAAATTCATAGAGGGTTTTCTGCCGTTAATATAGAACCCACATGTGAGTCTTTCGAATCATGAATTCCTGTCGTTTAGCTGGTCAACTGAACGGGACGAAAGTTACATGTAGCTAGGTGCATGTTAAACTAAGGGTTAGGTTTATGTGCCAAAATTAGACCCAACACTCATGCTCAACAAGATGGCATCAAAGCCGAGATGTGTGCATTATTCACGATTCTACGATATGTGTCCCTTCGCATATATTGACGATAGTTGGCCTTGCCTCATAAGACGCTTTTCACCTCAGGCGAACCTAGGCCCAACCTTTACTGAACTGTGAACTATTTTCGCCCCCAAGTCACCGTTTGTGTGGCCTCCCCTTTTTCCTTTCGAGCATTGCTAACTCCTCTTCGTAGTTGGGCGTTTGCGAATCATCATATTGAAAACCGGACATGGATAGATGGTCGAGTTCTTAAACGCAACCCTGACGTGTGTGTCGTACATCGATCGACCTTTCTCAGCAAAACAGTTAATGTGAGCCAACTTCACAAAAGGTTTCAAGAAAGGCATAGCACATGAATCCGGATCTTTGAATATCACATCTATGCTTGTCTAGAAGCTGCCTAAAAAAACGACTTTAGAATTTTCTGGCACATGCAAGCCCAGGGATCTAATAGTTTTCCAAAAGAACCGAAAGCTACTCGCTCACGACGGGAGAACGGCGGGCGTGATCTTTCGATATCCTGCACAGCTGGTTTACAGTAGAACGGAAGCCTAGGTCAGGAGCTCGGTCGCTTTTCCGATGACGAGCGCTATTTTATCAGTAAATATATGGCCACCGCGCTAAGAAGCTTAGGACCTAGGCTATCGTGGCGGGTCACATAACGAGTGATACCCCATGAACATTATGCGTGCTTGGGTCACAACTATCACCACTTCTATGTGACCCATATTCTAAACGACGTTGCTAGTATATTTTTCGGAAAAGTTCTAAAATGACACTTTCTGGTATACTTGATGCAGAGAAACACATAATGCAGAATGGCACACTTCTACGATCAAATGACACAGTTCAAAGAATCGGGCCCTTTTAGAAGAACCCGTCGTCTTTCACAATATAAAGTCCAACCTACATCATATGATAAGTAGCTTAGTTATAAGGATTTCCGGAATCCTGCTGTCTTCGATTTCTTTTGCCAGCAGAACTATAATAATAGTTTTTCAACGGATACTCCTAACAGTGCCGAACTTTGTGTTGATAGGTACTATCGACGGGTCAAAAGCGCTCTAGTTCAGAATTTTATAGTAATACTAGTCAGGAGCGGCCTCCGGCCACATATGAAACTAACCACTAGTTCAAGGAGCCGCCGATAACCAAAGCAAAGTGTAGAAAGATCCAGAAAACTCACAGCCCTGTTCAATGGCTCGGATAAACATAGGATTCGGCGTAATGGTGTGCAATAAACATTGATCTTGGTCAGAGGGCTATTATATATCATGACAGTAGTACTTGAGGTTTGCTATGTATGTCGTCTCCCTTTAACTCACCCGATTCTTTGTCTATTGACAGCTGTAGCTCGCCAGACTACAGAAATCGGAGGCAACTACATGTAATCATCCAATAGAAAAAACGGGTTCTTTTATGTAAAAGGACCCAATGTTTTGAACTGTGTAATTTTGGATCGTAGAAGTGTGTCATTTTGCATTACTCTACATCAAGTGTACCGGAAAGTTTGTCATTTTAGACCATTTCCGACATACATGTATTTTATGTTCTCTTTGGGCGCCGCTGCGGAAATGCATGGAATTATTCAAAATTACTACCTATCTAATACAAGTAGTTTCCGGCCTTCGGCCGGTACTATATGTATATCAATCAGTCTAATATACAGGCAAGCCGCTTTGCGGCTTATTTGTCTATTTGCCTGTCAGTCGGGGCTCTCAGGCCGCTGCGCGGCCCCCGACCCCTCCTAGCAGGCAAAGTCCATCACTATATCTAGATCTGATCTAGTCAATATGTGACTTTTCTGATATATTATCCCCATATATCAATGGATAAGTCAGACAATTTCTCCAGTTAAAACTACAGGTATATCCCTTTAACAGCTACCAAACGGCTAAAATCGAACCACTATCGATTCCCAGAACCAGTAGAAACCCTATTAACACTCTAACACCACTCAGCACAATACCCTATGTTAATATCCAACACAACATGTTTCAAGTGAAGCAAAAACATCTCTCAATGAACCAATCAGAAGACTATAAAAGCACATTGCATATGCAGGTTATAATTATATACTTATTAGATATTGCTTAGGCAATTGGACCAAACAGTTGGGTTTTGTATGGTTAGACACCTTCACCACAACCTACTCGGACACCGCTCTCATCCGGACGGTGAAAATAAAGACGAGAAAATCACTGTTGCAATCAGTTTCTACGTGCTGGATTTTTATTCTGTCTGATCCGAATCCGGAAAGTGGACAAATATATCATGAAATCAGACGCTATGTACCAAGATGAAGTCTCTCCGTTGCGAAGCAGATTTTTTGCCCAAGCCCCAATCAAAAATCGGACACAATTCGGGTAAGTATACCTCTGTCCGAATCAGGAGAGTGTTTGAATAAGTGACCTCGTACCATCATGCTAAGACATTCTGCGAAGCTGGGTCAACCAAAGACCATAGAGAAAAGGTAGGTTTGCTAGAATGATGATTCCCAAATTAAATCATTCCAAAATTGTGTTAAAACCTCAGAATCACTATGCATCCATCTGGGATGACGGTGGCTTTTCAATTGGTAATTTAAAACAAAATATAATTTGGGCCTTAACATTATACTGCCTTCGGTGAGCGGTACTACAGCCTTATTTCTTCACGAGCGTTTAATATCTTATATTTGAACGCGTATACGTATATACAGCACTCGTTTCTCCTATATAAAGGCAAACCCACGTAGTCCTAACCTTACACTGGACGCTATCACGTCCAACTACAGACGCGATCGCGTGTCCCCTAGCTCAGAGAAAGACAAGGGGTGACAGCAATCGGTGGGGTGGGTGGCGCGGGGTTCAAGGAAAAAACCAAGAGGAGGTAGACTTAGTGGTCATGATATAGTTTTCTTACGCGACTGCTGGATTATACTCGTGCTTTTCTGCTCATGGACGGGTTATAGAAGAGAATAGGCCTAAGGGCGGAGATAAGCCGGCCCGGCCTGAGTTTTGAAAGCCGATCGCGAGGCCTGGACCCACGTCAAGATCTCGAGAAAGGCCCGGGTCGGACCCGGGCCTCAACGATGAGATCGAGCCTCTTTAAATACATATAGATATGGAGGATATACACAACCTCGCCTTTGTTATAAAACAAAGTGCAACCTACGGGAGCACCCCTGGTTGGATGCGTCTATTTCCTCGATATATATAGAAATTTGTTTAATCTTAGCCCTTGTCTTGGCTGTCGAGTGAGATTGTGTGAGGACGCGTGGCAGAATCCAGCGTGGTATGTCGAAACCTAACCCTATAAATGTAACCTCAATTGCAACCTTCTCATTTTTACATGATCCCCACCGCCTTGCCAGACATCCAACTTTTGTTCTTAACCAATACATATAGTTAAGATCGACTACCTCGGGTACTCTCGACGGTCTGCGATATGTTCAGGCACCCTGGGAAGTGCCGCTGGCAACTGTAACCCCGACACGATTGAACCGTACGTTGCAGGCGCTAGGTGAAAGATATCACATTGAGACTTTTGCTTTCCCTACATTTAATCATTTACCCAGTTGGCGGCGTTCTAGATGTATTTATTTCGAGTAACTGGATACGCCCGATACTTGGGGATTCAAATGTACGGCGCCGTTATTGAAGATTACATATCCCTTTAATTTTTTTCTTATTCGACGCTAACATGGCTTAGATCTTGGCCTTTACGATATCAGATGCAGGGAGGCCATTGGCAACCTCATGTACTTTATGCTAGCTCCCGGCTACCTGGAATAAGCTGTTGCTTGGTGCTATACCATCTAAGCTGACAGAATCTAATTTGAATGCAGATAGCGACCCGGTACAGTTTCGATTCAAGCATCTAGACGCAATCGTAGACTTATCTAATGTCAGCATTCCCCACAACGTAATTGGAAATGGTGCGGAACATCAAACATCTTGGTTGGGATTCTCTTTGGCACTTCTGGTCGATGGGACAGCTAGACAGGGTTTAAGGACTGGCATCGACAATTACTGCTGTGCTTTATCACTTGTGGGCCTTGGGAGTACCTTCAAAGATAAAGAAGCCATGGACTCGGTATAACTTGAGTAGTATGCAGCACCTCCGAGACTCGATAAATGATGTCACATATACAACTAAACTCGTGGTCAATTACAAACTGGTCTAACCAAAAATGCTAAACTCGATATTAGCCGCGAAATCCCTGCGCGCGTTAATTCTACCCCACAATGCCTCCGGGCACATGCCTCTTGTTGTCTGGGGAACCTCTAACAAATGATTTTGTCCAACCCTTGAACTATGGGGTTCCCCATGGGCAGAGCTTACAAGTACGGGGCTTCTTCGTCAGCAACTTCTGGGGAAAGGTTAACCTTACAATCAAAATTTACTTGCGCACGCGATCAAAGATCAGGGACAGATCTATCGTATGATAGTGGGACATCGCGCATAATATTCCCATCCTAAAGCTTTCGCGGGAAAACATGTATGGCAAGCTAGACTAGATCCTCCATTCAATCCATAAAGTTGGATAGGAAGGGGCTTAAGCGACATATGAAGCATGATCGCGATTATCCAAACCATCTTAGCAGGGGTTTTACAGTTACCATTGGTCGTACATACCGGTCAAACGGAGAAATCTACGGAGCGAATCCACAAGCAAGAAGAACCGGGCATCTGAGTACGAGGTGGCGCAACTTTCGTTTTTCCGTCATTCTCAAAAAGTCCCTATTTTCAAGCCTACGGGTCGAACTCACCACCGGAAGGCTTTCAACAACAGAGTAAGTCCATTCTCCTTGTGTTACTAGCTACACAGATAAGCTGTCGAAACAACTGATGAAACCATGATCGTCTCATTCTTTATTATGAGAAAAACCCTCATCGCGCAAAGGCAAGATCCTGCCTTCTGTTTCTGCAAGAATACCGAGCTCAGCAAGCATCCAAGCAGTTGTTAGGCAATTATTCCGTAGTATCCATGACAATTCGGTGTTGATGTACCGAAAAGATGCAACGATCATCGCGACCCCGCGTCAATTCGGTGGCGCAGAGAATAGCCTAATCAGCCCATGGACGTCCTCAGGAGCTTGCTCAAGGCGAAGAGGAGCCATCGGTCTCGATTAATTACATACATACTGTACGGAGTAATGTGTGGAGGGAGGATCCCATCTCGCTTGCGAAAAAGATTGCGTTCCGCACCCGCATTCCCCACGTTTGTTGTCTGTGTGTGTTTGTAAATTCGGCACATAGACCCCTGGGATTAAGGTGCGATCCATGCTACCAACGTTTAACGGTTGTGGCGGATACTAAGCTTCTGTACTTAGCCTGAGCTTGAGGTTTGTCGGCTAAAGGCGAGTTTCAACATTCTCACACACGTCCCTGGTTTTGGTCAAATGTCAACTACCAATGTATGTACCTAGGTCCCAAGAGGCCCGGATGCTGCCCGAGAGTTGAATGGGGCATGAGATCTTCCCCGAGTCGGTACCCAGTGATCTTTATAAGGCATGGGTTCTCCCCCGGATCGTGTTCTTCTCGTCAGTCAACTCTTTTTTTCTTTTCTTGACCGCAAAGAACTGATATTCGGGTTCATATATATATTGAGCCCTGGATACGTTGGTATATACCATATAGGGGAGAAAAACATACGCAATCATGTATCGCATCAGTAATATTTATGGTTCGTATCATGCCATATCTATATTATATGAGTGAAAGAAACCGGAATGCTGACAGCTTTTGTTCTCTAGTGCTCGCCGCGTTCGGCACTATCGGCGGTGCATTGTTTGGTTTCGATATCAGTTCAATGAGTGCATGGATTGGCGCAGAACAGTACCTGGAATACTTTGACCATCCAGATTCAGATCTTCAAGGAGGAGTAAGGCCTAATCCAATCACTTAACTAATTGATTAGCTGGCTAACAAATACTGATAGATCACTGCATCTATGTCCGCCGGTTCCTTTATTGGTGCTTTGGGAGCTGGTTATCTCTCCGACATGATGGGGAGACGATATGCCATCGTTGTTGCAGCAATAATCTGGATTGTCGGGTCTATCGTTTCGTTGAGCGCACAAAACGTTGGTCATTTGATCGCGGGACGTATAATCAACGGTCTTTCCGGTTAGTGCCCGATACTCCAGCACTCGCTTCCGAGGATTAATGTGCTAATCTTTACGTAGTTGGTATTATGTCTTCTCAGGTTCCTGTCTATCTTGCCGAGCTATCACCCAAAAACATTCGTGGTAGAGTCGTTGGTATTCAACAGTGGGCAATCGAGTGGGGTATCTTGATTATGTACCTGATCTCATACGGTTGCACCTTTATTGAAGGTCCTGCGGCATTCAGAACAGCCTGGGGTATTCAAGCAATTCCAGCCCTGATTCTTATTGGCGCGCTATTCTTTTTCCCAGAATCCCCACGTTGGTATGCATCGAAGGACCGCTGGGAAGAGGCGCTGGACACTCTTGCACTCCTTCACGGAAACGGAGATATCAACAATCCTCTCGTTCAGGCTGAATACGAAGAAGTCCGTGAAGCTCAACAGATTGCTGCTCAAGGAAAAGCGATGTCATGGCTGGGTTTGTTCGGACCAACCATGTGGAGGCGTACTACGTAAGTTTTATTTTCGTTACGATATGAAAACTGGCACCGAAAGCTGATTGTTTGACTTTAGTGCTGCGCTTGCCGCTCAGATCTGGCAACAGCTTCTTGGAGGAAACGTCATGATGTATTACATTGTCTATGTTTTCCAAATGGCGGGTCTAACCGGTAACATCAACCTTGTCTCGTCATCTGTCCAATACGTTATTTTCTTGGTCACAACAGCCATCACTCTCCTCTTCATCGATAGACTTGGTCGTCGCCCACTATTCATCTACGGTGCTGTTGCAATGGGATCACTCAACTTCGCCGTTGCTGGGTTGATGAAGACTGGAGGTCACTCGGTCACCAATGTTGCCGATAACTACAACATTAAATGGCAGGTAGAAGGAAGTTATGCCACAGGTGTTATCGCATGCAGTTATCTTTTTGTTGCATTCTACGGATTGACATGGGTATGCACCTTTTTCTTGAGCCTACGTAATTATAAACGGATGAAGTTACTAGAAACGAACATGCTAATACGGAAAAACAGGCTCCTTGTGCATGGGTCTTCATCTCTGAAGTCTTCCCACTTCAGTATCGTGCCAAGGGTGTCGGTCTCGCCACTGCCGCCAACTGGATTTTTAACTTTGCGCTTGCATACTTTGTTCCACCTGCGTTTAAGAACATTCAATGGCGCACTTACATCATGTTTGGTGTATTCTGCTTCTGCGGTGTCGCGCACAGTTTCTTCATGTTCCCAGAGGTTCGTTACTCAGTTGCATCCCTCATTTTTCCCGAGCCCCGATCTAACATGAATTTTCAACTCAATAGACTGCCGGAAAAACTCTTGAGGAAATCGACTATCTCTTCGGGAAGAACGTCCCAGCATGGAAGAGCGCAAAGGTGAACTCAAGACTTGATGAAAAGGTTGGCGACCTTGAGAATAATAAGCCTGGCCATGACGATGGGCAGTCGGAGAAGGGTGCTGCGACGACAGTTGAGAGCTCTCACTAAAACAATTTCTGTACTTTTTTTGTCCCTTTTACGTATGAGATTTTAGTGGCATATTCACGATTTTCATTGCTTCGTTCTAGCTAGCTATATGTAGTGCTAGTATGACATGACTTCAAATTAAAAAGTTCAACTTTCGGTTGTATCTTTATTTATAATTACCTTTGGATTGCGCCGTTTCTCCTCACTAATGCCGTTTCCGGCATATGCCTGATATGGTGTAGCAAATCAGAACCATCAACATGTATACAAAGTAGCAAAGCTGAATTCGATACCAATTCCGACCACACCACCTGCCCGTGGCTGTGAATTGACTAACTGATCGAAAAACCTATATTTTCCCTTACAACGAGTGTCCCCGAGTTGACGTCGAGGCCTCATCCGTCCCGAACCAAACGAATGTGTACCCCCACCCGCACCTACTAGTCCACTTAGCCATCCGACCCGGCCTACCCGTCCCAGCGCTAGCACATTTAGCAGTACCCGGGTTCAAGGCGCCGGACATGGGTATACCGTCGTTACGTCCTACATATATTATCAACGCTTATCTCTTATCGTGGGTTTCCGCGCCCATATATGTTCTCTTTCTAAACGGTAGTCTTCCTCGTCGTCTCCAAGAAGCATCTCCATTAGCTTATTCCACCAGAGTTAAAATATCGATAAGAAGACCCCCCTTCCAATTCGGAAGGGGATCTAGCTTGTATCTTTGAGCCAATGTGGTTGAGTGGGCCACGCACCAGGCCATGCAAAGAGATCAAGCTAATGTCCTGTGTTGGATCATGAGGTATCACTCGACCCGTCTTTCTACTTTTAGGTTCTTTTTTCACGCGGCACAAGAAGCAATTGTACGTATCTAAACGATGATCTATAGTAAGTGAGACCATATTAGTAGCGCGCTATGCCATTACATTATTGTATTCTCATCTTGCAAGGCGGTTGGGCCGGCGCTAGCTCCCAATTACGCGTACATATGTACCTGTATTTACCTTTTACCAACGACTGGCTATACCCTGTAGAGAAGCCCCTGAGGTCTATTTCTGAGAACACAGTATTGGCGCTTATTTCTCAATGTTCTTGGTCTATCATGTACTGACCGCGTGCACCCGGGAAAGTCCACTTTAGTTGGGTCACAGACTGTCACTCGGGCCACATTTGTGCGTAATGTGCCACGCTGGATAACACCCAGTCAAGTCGGAGGCACGTAAATTAGCGGATGATACTTTTCCTTTACACCAAACTCAACCTCGAGGTTATATGCTAGCTATATGTACTCACCCCAATGTACAGACGCAGACATAGTCAGCGCAAAATGGGCGCCCGCCGAAAATGCGAGCCAATGATTGCAGAAAATCTTCTTCGTAGATCGTCGACAGCACCGGCGGTAGTCTATACCCTCTAAACCACGTATATAGCGGGTCAAACCCTTTCGAGCCCTCCAATGTTGGGCCGAGTGATAATCCATGATCACAGCATCAAAGCCGACCCGATCCATCTGCTCCTATCAGGCCCTCGGCCGGTAGCACCCAAGACCTAACAGGGAAAGGACGGAGCGGGACGACCTAACGCAAAAAAGCCCCCTCCTCTTCGTATGAAGAGGAGAGGGCAGAGCACAAAGAGACTTAACGCAAAAAACCCTCTCCTCTTCGTAGGAAGAGGAGAGGGCGGGAAGACGGCTTGACGCAAAAAAGCCCCCTCTCCTTTTTTTGAAGGAGAGAGGGCTAAAATAAAAAATAAAAAAGTAATAATTAAAAAACAACCTCCTCTCTTCCCGTCAAGAGAAAAGAGGAGGTTATAAAGACTATTCCCCGCTTCCCGGCGGGGGAAGAGGGGGGCCGACAACAAACGATTCCCCCTCTTCCCATCTAGGGAGGAGAGGGCTATAAAAACCACCTCCCCACTCCCATCAAGAGAGGAGGGGAGGGCAATAAAACAATTCCACCCTCTTTTCCCTTGATGGGAAAAGAGGGACCGGAAAATACCATTTCCCCTCTCTCCCATCAAGGGAAGAGAGGGCTATAAAATCTGTCTACCCCCTCCTCCCATCAAGGGAAGAGGGGGCCGTCGAAAACTCTTCCCCTCTCTTCCCATCAAGGGAGGAGAGGGCCAAAAAACACCCCCCACAAAAACCCACCAACAAACCCCTCCTTATCGGGGAGGGGGCAGGCATCGATCCCCCCCTCAAACTGAGGGCCAAGGGGACCGATGTAGTACCCTCCCTTTTCCAGGGAGGGCCGGAAGCCAACTGGCGGACCAGGGCAACCGTCTCTACCCCAAGGGGGAGCAGAGAGATCCTTATGATTTTGGAAGAAGAGTGGGGGCGAGGGAGTTTATAAAGAATTGGGTTCTTGAATTTTGGCCGTCGGGGCTTGGCTGTGGTTTAGGTGCGCTTAGGGCTGGTGGAGGTAGGCTTGGCGTTATAAACTTGGCGTGGGAGATACGTTCTTTCTTATCTTCCGTGTTCAATATCGATTCTAAGAAGGCCGAAGTAACCACATCTCATGAGGGACTTGAGTATGAGTGCAGAAACGGCTTGTACCCACCATAACTACCAACAGCGGTTGCCTCTGCGGCTAATCTCGAATCACCTGAAGTTCACCAACTATCACTCGATCGACTTTGTGACACCTTTTTGAAAACTACAATCAACATTACCAGCCTTTACAACCAATGCTGCGTACAAAAACTAAGATAGAACAGTTAACCACTACTACCGATGTACTAGCGGGTGGAAAGTGTGATCTATGAGTTAGAGTACGGGACGTAGCTCTGTAAGCACCCACCCCGATTGTCAAAAGAATCTCGTGTATCCTAGCTAGTTGTAGTTTTTAGCATGCGTGATAGGTTGTGATAGGATCCTGCCCTCTGCACTTCCTATGTTCATATACATGGACGTCAATCCGGGCAAACGCGCGGGTTAGGTTCACTAGAGAAAAAGGCTTCTAGGCAGATAAGTTTAACTCTCGTCATTATATACAATCGAAGGGATGTCTAACAGTCGCTTACTACATGTATCTAACGTCTTCCTGTAAAACCTTTGTGCTCGGCTCGTAATGTACCACAATGAACTTTGAATATACATATACCCATCGATTGTCTTGAAAGGCTAACTACAAGCAGCACTTACATATCAGCATCGAAGCAAAGTTGTAAAGTTGTTCATGGTCAGCGTACGTTAGCGTGTAACATATAATAACTTAATGAGTGAGGTAACACTTTTGCCGTACAGCGCAGCAAAGGTGGGCCAACTAGAAATTTGAGCTCAAAATCTGAAACTGGGTATGACCAAAAACACTCTATTGCGAGTTTAGAATATTATTACTTTCGGAAAAGCCGAATATATGGTGCCCCCAGTCTTAAAGGTAACAACCACGATTGATATTAAAAATCTGGAAAGAAAAACTCTTCATCACGGTATCCAGCTTTTCTCTTTCCAGACTTTTAATATCAATCGTGGTTGAAAAGTTATTCGAGACTTGGCGTTTTTCTCATGTTACCTTTAGGACTGGGGGAACCATACGTGGGTAGACTCGTTAGATTACTCGCTTATCATCTTAGGCGGCCCCTGTACTACCCATTCATCATCATAAAATATCACTCGACACATTGTTAGTGTGGAGGGACCCTAACCCTATATATCAGAAACGTTTTTTTTTTTTTCAATTCATTAATTGCATATATCAGAAACGTCTTACTATGAGGTAGGTACAAGCTGATAAAAGGCCGAGAGAATCAATTAATGTGGATTGAAGCTGCGTAAGATGGAATCAAAACAAACCCCCCCTCCCCGGGGGGAGGCCCTCTAGGGGGAGTGGAAATGTGTACCTCGAATATTAAGTAAAGTCGTCGGGAAAGTCGTTTCTGGGGTCCCAAGTCTCGCTGGGAAATGTCAATATTTTGGTGGAGGGAAAGTCGTTTTAAGGGAAATTGGACGACTTTATAGACGACTTTGTTTTACCTGTCACGCTTCCGTCACACATAATTTTGAGTGTATACACATGGGGGGATAAGTTTTGGCCTGATGCTTCGCATGATTGGCCAAGGCCATCGCCAATGAAACGAATCATGACAGAGTATCCTACTACCATACCAGGAACATCAAGCCAGAGCTTCCTACATCTATATGCCAAACAATAGACCCAACAGAATTAAATTGTATTCCCCAACTGTTACAGGCCCACTGATGCCAGATATCATTTGACAGCCCCACCGAATTATTTTGTTTGAGGGCTCAACTATCTCGAGATCCAAAAGCATGGCTTCATTGATTTTCCGGCGGAAACCGGAAACACCGGAAACCACTGTAAAAGCACCAGTAAAGGTGTCGGTAATGGGACAGGAATGCCTTTAACACAGAGTAGGTCGGTTATTGCATCAAATAATGTGTATCTGGCAATTTTTTGTATGGGAAACGTCAAAATTGATGCATTTCCACTCCTACTAGAGGCCGATATCAACATTTCGAGCATCCGGAGGGCATTTGTAGACACAGTGTAACTCACGCGGAACTTTTTGTTCACAAGATTTCCCAGGACTCACTTCATATAAGTTAAGTGCGAGTATATATACGTTTATCACTTAGTGCAAACAAACTACAACTATTTCATGCAATAAGAAATTTGCTCCATCAGATCAAGCGGTACACTCCGCATTTTACAACACCCCAGTGCAGGCGAGCATGGGCCATGCAAGTTCGCCGGTCACCGCTACATGTGCTCTCGCTGACTCCTAATCGAGCATTTATCATGTCACGAGCGCGATAAAGTTGAATCAATATTAAAGTATTCACGTGACAAATATCCTCCAATGTAAGCAAGATTGACGTGTTCTCACACACATTTCTTCTAGTGATCTATAAGAAAATCAGATCGTAAAAAGGTAATAGAATTTGACACCATACCTAGCCTACATGGGTACGGTATCTTGGTTTACTTAGTACACTTCTCTAGCATCTTTATAATGTTTGCTGGCTTGGAGGTATTGCTCATTTAAATTTGCACAAGTAA